AGGGACTCATGATAAACACGACCAAATCAGCCATCCTTCTCACCATGGGAGGCACCAATTTCAGGCCTGTGCGACAAGCCTTGACCTTTCGCACTGATGCAGGTGAATGGATCAAAATCAAGGGCAGATCGCAAACCTTTGTTCTTCCAGTTGTGAAACAAACCAAATACCTTGGCACGTTGATCAGCTATTCCCAGTTTGAAGATGCCACGGTTAAGCACAGAATTGGGCTTGCCAACACCGCTTTTCATCGCCTGAAGAAATGGCTCACTGCACGGCGGGGTCTCGACGTCCATGCCAGATTGCGACTATGGACCACATGCGTTTATCCAATCATGACATATGGCATTTTTTGCGTTGGCCTCACCGCCAGTGGACTGCAGAATCTACAGGCAACCATGGTTTCAATGCTCAGACAGATCTACCATGATCATGCGTACATGACAGGCAGATCACATGCACAGGCATTCCAATTTCATGCAATTGACCCGCCCTTAGTGTGGCTATGGCACTCGGCTGCCTCCCTGCATCGGTCGGTCACCAAGATTCCAAAGCATCCGTACATGCATGATATTGCCAACCTGATCGACTGGACTCCTGTGCTGAGAGTCCTGGATTTTATCCAGCACCAACACACTTCAGGCCTGACTGCACTGTGCACAATGGTCTCCAATGAAGAGGCCGAGACCTGCCTTGCCTGTCCACACTGTGCTTTCACCACGACCACATTGCCTGTTTTGCGCCAACATCTCACCCATGTACATGGTTTAACCCGATATCGCAGATACATACACAATCCTTCCCAATTCATGCAAGATGGCCTTCCCATATGCAACCTTTGCCATGCCACATTCACAACATGGAGAACTTTCATGATTCATGTTCAACGCGGTTGCCAGGCTGACACCATGGAACACCGGCTGAGCAGACCGCTGGTACCTTTCCCTGACCAGCCTGCAAGCCCTACAGTGCCTCAGACGCCTGGCCAAGTGTTGAAGCTGACCAAAGAAGAGATTGATTCAATCTATCAACGAGAGTTTGGCCCCAGACTGTTGACCTTGATTCATCAAAAGCGTTGGCCTGACCTCCTGCGTGAACGCGCTGGATGTGGCTTCCTTGCAAAGCATTGCCTGCTCTGCGGACAGTACGTAGGACGGGCCCAGGCAATGCACCACCATGTGAGGGCCTACCACAATGCTTACAGCTCCTTGGTTCAGGCCAAGGCCACCCAGCTGACAAATATGCACAGTGATGAATCGCCGTGTTCGGCATGCGGGGTGACATTCCTGAACACTCACTCCTGCAATGTGTGGTTCCAAGTATCCATGCTCATCGTGCACGGCCCCAAGCCTGCTGCAGAACGAGATGTGCCTCCTTCTGACCATTTGCGCTGTGAGATCTGTGACCTGGCCTGTGACACCGTTCAGGCGCTACATGAACATCTTCAGCGAGAACATCACCTGGTGAGTTCAGTTTGGCATGAGAGCCGCGATAGTTTTCTAGGCCAGCCAGTTTGCAATCACTGCCATGCCATGTTTCAGTCAATGGAAGGCCTTCGCAGTCACATCAATCAAGGCCGCTGCAAACAGTTCAATCCAGAGCTCACCACGGCCCCTTCTGAAGTCTGTGCCACCTGGAAGGACGCCTGCTGCAAAGGACTTTTTGAAGAAGTGCTTCAAGATCCGAGAAATCGTCAACGCCTGACACTGCGTTGCCAATGCTGCCCCAAGAGCTATTCAAGAGCTACTGACCTTTCAGCCCATCTCCAGAGCTGTCATCCTGACGTTTGGGCTGCCGCTCAGCCGATGGTGTATTTGCTCGCCAAGAAGTATCTTGATGAGCTGGGCTGTGTTTGCAACCCACAATGCAATGTGGTACGCATTCAACACATATGCACGCCACTGCTGCAGCTGACGATGCAACTCACGCGCATCCCAAAGGCTATCTTCATGCCGGCCAAGCTGAACTCCACGGAACTGGCACGCACCTTGCCTCATAATGTTCCTGTTGACCTTCGAGATAGCTTGGAGCAGGCGCTCATGCGCTATGACCTTGGGGCCACCTGGAATGACGCATTGCTGCTGGATGCACTCAGTGGCAGCTGCTTCTTCTGTGGATGCGATCTTCTGCCGACAGAGCTCACCTATCACCTGCACGAGGCTCATGATGGAATGCATCCAGTTGTCAAGATGTATGTTGCGCAACTGACCTCACATGCCCTTTCATGCAGTGACAATGACTGTGCCTGTTTTGCCTGTGGACAGATACTCCAACTGCCTGCTGAACAACCTGATGCCATGCAGGGCCATGCAAGGCAGAAATTGGTTCAAGCGCACCTGCGTGCACAGTGCCCAAGTGTTTTGCAGCTCTCGATCCTGCTCTCACATGTCCACTATGGAGCAGCCCGATTGGCAAATGAACCAAGAGGATGCGGCCGCCCAGATGCTGCAAACCTTCAGGGATCTGGCACCGCTCCTGGATCACAGCCTGAAGCTGGCGCCAAATCCAGGAGCACCAAAAAGACAAAGGCGGCAACCAGAACTGGCAGATGCAAAAAGCAACGCGCAGCCCAACAAGAAGCAGGACCAAGGCCTGGATCAACAGACCATCCTGACATTGATGGCGAAGCTTTTGCTTCGGGTGGACAGAGACCTGCAGGTGCTTCAGCGAGAAACCACATTCATCTTCTACTTCAGCTGCCAAGAACAGACGGGAGTACTCCCCCTACTTCTCAAAGCTGCAGACTCCTGGCACCAGCAGTCCCAGGAGAAATCATCACCGTTGAAGACGCCTCTGAGACAGGTCCTGGTTCAGACCCTGATGTCAGATCTCCACACCAAGGTCTCCAAGCTGATGGAAGCTCAGGACGACTCGCCACTGATTCTGGCGGCCAAGAAGTCCAACATCCTGATGGAGAATCGGTCGATCCCCTATGTGGAATGGAACTCACTGGAACGCAAGCTTCAGCTCTCCAACCAGACCCCGGTCTCCCTGACCAAGGTGTGTCAGCATTGCACGGAGTTGCAGGAGGGATTCCGAGATGTGAATCTCATCATGAAGTTTCATGCGCTGCCGACGAAGGTGGACAGTCCAGTCACCCCCTGGCGCCTGCAGATGTCAGCCAGGGAGGACAGGACCTACGAGCTCCTGCTCCACCTGGCCAATTCCCAGGTTTGGACGCTCCTCGGAGCCAGTCTCAAGAGACACAACTTGCACCAGAGCTCTTTGGCCACCAGCTTGGAGCAAAGCCTCGGTCTGAAACCACCGAAGGGCCATGGGAAGGGGAAGACGAAGACCAAATCGACGAAAATGACTCCAACCAAACTCGAGCCTTGAACCTCTCTCATGCTCAGCTGGTTGACATCGTGGCCAAGATGTGTCTTGCCAATCCTAGCAATTGGTGCTTTTGCAATGCTGCGGTGTATTCTCTGTGCTGGACTTTGTTGAGCTTGCACACGTATGAGCCGGCTTTTTGGGGGACTCAGCGCAATGACATCATGACTTTCTTTCATGCTGCAGACGCCAATCTTTGTAGCCTTGCCACTCAGAAGTTTTTTCGTGATATCATGCGCTGCTGGGAACGAGATGAGACTGGAATGCCATCAGCCTCCATCTCACAACATGACTCTTCAGAGTTTGTTCATGTTTGGTTGAGTCTGCTGCAGGCTCCAACTTTTCAGATGCAATGGGAAAAACGTGTTGACCTTGCAGATGCCACACATGTCATGGACTCGAGCCGAGAATCCCATGCTCCACCTTGCCTTCGTTTTGATGAGTTCAACATGCTTGCCCTTGTGACCACTTGGCATCAGGCAGACGGCATGCAGACTGCCTTTCTCCAAGCCTCGGCCTGCATCTGCGTCCACATTGACAGGTGCGTGCTAGGCCCTGACCTGAATGTGCACAAATGCAACAGCAAACTGCAAATAGATGAAGAGTGTTTCTTTCCTGTTTTCCAGGGTGATTCCATTGCCTGTGCCAATCATGCCTACACTGCGGTGGCTGTGATGGCCCATTTGGGCAATGACATGGCTGGTCACTACAGATCGGCACTGCGGATCCAACCGTTGATCCTGAACCGAACTCAGCCAATTCGATGGCTGGTTACAGATGATTGGATGCCACCACAGGCAACATGGAATTTGCGAAGCTGGATGCAGGAGAACGTCACAATGGTGTGGCTTGTGCGATCAGACCTTTTGCGTTTGCCAGTGTATCAGGCTCCACAAGACCAGACTGCTTCATCGACAGCTGAGCTGCTGCAAATGCTTTCCGAAACCAATTGACGATGCCCTGAGGAAGCGATTTTGACTATGGCCACCTTGGCCAACTTTTTTCACCGTCATCAGTGGGCCAAAAGATTCCAAACCGGAACCGCCATGGAACATTGGCGCTGGCTGGCATGGACCTTTGCATTTCAGAAAAGGCGTGTGCGCAAAAACACACACACACACACACACACACACACACAGTGTTACACGCTGACACACGGCCACCACAGTCTTATGCGAACATCCTGATCCAATCGCAGATCTTTTGGAGTTCTTTATGCATAGCCGGAGTTTTGTCGCGCTGGCCAGTTAAACTGACGCAGGGATGAAAATGAAAGAAATCTGTCTCTGTCTCTTTGCAGTTTCGGATGCTCTGCTGGGTTTCCTCATCAGGATGCCCAAGCCCAGCAGAGTGGGCACCGACTGCTTCTCTTGTCTCTCTTTGTTTCTTTGCGCGAAATGGATGATGATGACATGAAACCAGAGGTGAAAGAGGGAACAAGGAAAGGTAAGAACAGGACATGCATTCCCTTGGCTAACAGGGTTCCGCACACACACACGCCCGTAGCTATGACGGGCAGCGTTTTTTTTTTTCTGGGAGATGCCGGTATGCCGTTTTTGGCAAAGTGTCTTGCAAAATGGAAAATGAAAAGCCAGCTTTGTGATACAAATCAAGAAGGGCGCTCAAACTTCCTGGAATCAATTCCTTTGGAAAAGAATAGTTGACAATCAAGTGTGCTCTGCTGCGAAATCCTGAAAGTGTGAGGTTGTTTGTTCCTGCATTGGCTGGACTCCTGACTTTCCACGGCTTGTCAACATCAATAAATTTGACTTGCCGTTTGTGTGGGTAAATGTCAAAACCTAAAAAGTTGATGTCCTCAACTTCTTCAACTTCGATAGGCCTGCCATAAAACCACTTGTGGAGCCAAACAGCCAAAGGGTGATCTGTAGAATGCTGTTGGTCAACGATTGTGAGCCTGTTGTCTACATACCGCATGAGGAGAAGGTGCAACCCTGGCGATTGCCTCCAAATGTGGTAAGTTTGCCGCCATGTCATCTCATGGCCTGCAACGCAAATGCTGCACAGTGCTGGAGAAATTTTGCTGCCAATTGGTGACCCTTGAACTTGGAGCCAAGTTGTGTTAAGGGCGGAAAAGACAGCGGTGTCAAAGGTTGTTTGGACGATTGGAAGGATGTCATCAAGGCGCAAAGATTTGACCTGTGTGTGCTGATGGTGCTGGGACAATGAGCCGCTGGTGGTGCGATTGTGTTTGCAGCTGCTTTGGGTGTTAACTGAAAGTGTGTGGATGTCTGGGTGTTTTGCTTTGTAGTGCTTAATCAGGTGGTCAACAAAGAAGAGTACTTTGTCCTGAGGGATGGAGTTGAAGAAGCCCACCAAGTCGTCGTTGTACATCACGAGGTCAATGTCGCTGGAAGTCTCATCGAAGAACTTGTGAAGCTTCTGGAATAGTTCCGGTGTAGGTGTTGTCCCCAAGGTTGAAGGCCACACTTCGGTCAGCATGTCTGCTAGGGCTACTGCAGTGATGTGCGTCAGCTTGGTGAGGACACTGCAGTGGTATCCAATAATTGTACGGCCCTTTTTCCAAGATTTCTTCCGTTTCAGGAACGCTTGTCCTGTTGGGATTTTGTACTGTTTGTTGACTGGCTTGTGCCCACTGTCCTTTTGAAGCTTTCCTCGGGTCTTGCGCAGCGATACTGGAACTGTGGCCCATCTGGTTGGTTGGGAATTGGTTGGAAAAGTGCGGCATCATTCCATGTGGCTTGAAGAGCTTTAAGGTAAATCTTGGGGCAGTAGATCATGAGATGGCTATTCCCATGGTCTTCGTTGTGGACCACCATGTTCTTTGGAATGAGCTTTTTGAATTGCTGGAGGTTGTGAGCGGTGTATTTGGGCGTTTTGCGCAGGAATTGCTTGTGAGAGGAGATTTGGGAGTCAAAGAATTGCTCAAATTGTTTCAAAAGTTGTCGGCTGGGCAGCCCATGTTTGTCTGCCCATTTTTTAAGGGCCTGGGCTGAACAGGTCAATACCTGGCTGGTGTGTGGGTAGAAAGTTGCTTGCGCATTAGCCCATTGGTACAATGCTTGTAGTCTGGTGCTGGTGAATGTCAATTGTTCAATGCCTGAAGCAATGTGCCCATCGAGTGTTTCCAGCAACGGGTGCTTTTTGAGCATGCTGTCGCATGAGCATGAAAGGTCCCGAAAATCTGTCTGCGGTGTCCAATGTTCAGCCGCTTGCCTCCAGTTCCATAGTGCAGTGCTGAGCGATGGGTTTGCAGCTTCTTGTACTTTGGCTGATGGAAGGTGAAATGGAACAGCAATCTCCTTGTGTTCCAGGACAAACTTTCGTAACCAAGCCGCCATCCGAGACCGATATTCTGGGTGGGCAAGGAATGGCGACCTAATTGGCTGGCTGGATCTTGGACGAGTCATGTTGCGAAACTGCATGACTTTGTGGAACAAGCCTTGGAGTTTGCTTCTCTGGGGTTGTTCGATGACGTTTGTGAGCCTGTAGATGGCATAGATTTCCGCATCCAAAACTGCCCCGCTGCGAAGGTATCTGCACGCTTCAAAGGATCTCTTGGAGTTCTCTGCCAACCTGTAGAGAAGATCCCAGGCTTGAAGTCTCTCCATGGTGTGCTGTTGAAACATTGCAACTGAGCAAAGCGTGTGTTTGCGAAGCTTTCTCCAGAGTCGTACTCCGGTATGGAGTACACTGCTTCTGTGCTGCACTGCTAATCGAACAAAACTATTGGATTTTCGTCGAAAGTGGCGAAGAATATGTGGGTAGTTCAGATGTGGCTGCCAGCGTTGTATGAGGAGGTGCTCAAAGCACCAGGCTTGCTGGTATGTGTCATGTGCGGAAAGTACTAAAACAGTGTGTTGGTAAAAAGTGTTGTTTCTTGCCCAATAGCGGATCGCTGGCTCAACATGCACAAGTTGCTCTTGTGTGACTTGTTTGTACTTGCTAATCCTGTTCCATTCTCTTTTAGGAAGTCCTTCCTTAGTGCTGCCAATGTAAATGTGCTTGCTGTCAACCTTGAAATGCCGAGGTTGCATTTGTTGGTGCTGTGGAAAAGAAATTGGCAGCCGCACGTATGTGATGTTGCTGTGAGAGAAAAACGAAAAGGTGTATTTGCTTGGGTGGAGGGAAATGTTTTTGAATTTCGCTTTGAGTTCTTTGCCTGAAAAGGTGTGCTCTCCATGATGCCAAATCAGTGTGAGATGCACTAAACCTTGTGCCCAAAGTGCTATTTGCTTGTCAACAAACGGAACATGATAAACAAAGAAGTTGAGCGCCTGCAAAAGTTTAAAAAGGTGGGTGAAAAGCTGGCTTTGCTGTACACAGCGATTGCTATGGCAGTTCATTGTTTCTGTCACTAGTCAGGCAGCCTGCAGTGCCGCCGCTGCAACGATCTGAGACAACGATTTGTTGCTGGCCTTCTCTGCCAAGTTGTAGGGAAGCCCCCATTTTATAGCCAAGGCACGGAGGTCGCCCAGGTCTTTGCTTTTGAGCCCTTTGTGGTGTTCCACAACTTGCTTGACGTACTTGTCGAGCTGGGAAGCCTTCTCCTTGTCCATGTGCTTCTTGATGTTTTCAAGCCATTGTTGCATGGCTTTGTCGGTGGTGGCTGAAGGAGGGTCCTCAAGAGCTTGCTTGGGGTGGTGGATAGCATCAACCTCAAGCAGTTGGACCTTGCGTTTCTTTGCGGGATGCACTGATGAGCCTGGTTCTGAATTCGCTTCTCCTGGTTTCTCCCCTGTGGTGGTATGCTTCTCCGGAGTCAAAACAACTCCTTTGGCTCGGAACCGAGCATTCTCTGCCTCTAAGCTTTGGATTTTCTTCAAGGCGGTGCAATCTTGGGCGACCGGGTGGAGCTCATCCAAAAGACTCATGATTTTGTCCACAAGCGGTGTCATGAAGTCGATGGCATGTTCATGTTTGCTGGGGGGTGGTGTGTTGCTGTCAGCACAAATGCGTTCAGCAATGGCATCAATATTGTATTTCTTTTCCCTGATCTTCTTGAACAACCCTGCAGCGAACACTGCTTCTGATGTGGATCGGGCCCACACTGGCGTGACAAAGGACCCTTGAGACAAAACTCGAAGCGCATGTTCTTCCCAGCCGTTCTTGGTGATGTCCACGATGCTTATGTCTTCCACCGGGCGGCCCGCTAGTTGCCGCTTTCGGGACCAATTGGTGGGTTGAACTTTGCGGTGGAGTTTGTACCCATATTTCTCACGGTTGTCTAAGAACTCCTCATCAGCCTGAAAGTCTGAAGGAACCGGAGTCTGGGTGATGCTGGCGGATGGCTTGGTCTGATCCCACTTTGACTCTGGCTGGCTCTGATCCCATGAGTTCTTGTGGCTGTCTGACCATGATCCCCAGGAATTGTTTGGGTTCCAATTGGGCCAAGAAGAGCCGGACTTGTTCCACGCCATTGATGAGGCACGGTTTGCACTGCAGATCGAAACGCAGGTCTGACAAAAAAGGGGCTACATCAGAGTCGCAAAAATGACTGCTGCTGGCTCAAAATTTGAATGGGCTTGTGGCTTGTGAAACCTTTTTCACAAAGTAAGTTCAACGTTTATATTCTGTAGTGCCCTTGCTGGAAGGTGAAACTAACGTCACATGATGGAAGGCGACAAAGCTGCTAGCGATGCCGTGAGTCTCATACTTATCAAGGTGCATGATCACAGTCGGATACAGTTGTTAAGCTGCAAGGCAAAGCTGCAAAGCTGCAAGACAAAGCTGCATTGCTGTCACATTAAGCTGCAAAGCTGAAGACAAAGCTGCACGGTCGCAACAAAACTGCAAGTTTGCAAGAGAAAACTGCAAAACTGCAAGACAAAGCTGCACGGTCACACTGTCAAGCTGCAAATTTGTACGTCTGCAAAACCAAGCTGCAATGCTGCCAGTCGTGTCTCTCGACCCTATCCCTTGTTCTCAAGTCAATATACTTAAAAATCAAAGACCCCCCAAAAAAACAAACCGCGAGTCAAAGTTTCGGGGCGTTGGATTACGTGGCGAGAATGCGGAAAGGCAAAGCCCGCAATTATGCGAACGAACTCGTCGACCAGGTAAACCAGTAAACCCAAGGAAAGCTGGGTGGGAAATGGTTGGAAACAACCCCCCAAAAAATACGACGTCGGTTCTCGAGCGCGGGGAATCCGCGTGGCACCGCCGCAGATAGAGTATCATTGCAAATCAATTTGGATCTACTTCCAAGCAACCAAGAAATGCCCAAACAAAAATAAAAAGAAAAAACACAGAAAAAAGGAAAAACAAAAAGAAGAAACCAAAGACGGCAAACGGTGACCTGTTGGGGGCAATAGAAAGAAAAAACCAATGGTTTGGTGGTTCCGCCAAAAAAAACGTTGACAGCATGTCAGAGACATCCGCCCAATGATGCATTTTCCATGGTACACAGTCGGTCTCAAGGACTGCAGGCACTAAACCGCGACTTCAACACATCAACAGACAAACAGCCAAGTGCCCAGGGGGTGCGAACAAACTGGAAATGGAAACATTAAACAGGGTGATGACATGGTTCGTGTGCCTGACGTAACTGCCAAGGTCTAGTTCGGAAACAGGAAAACGCAAATCGTCACAACGTCCATTTTTTTGCTGGGGATGCCGGGCTGGAATTGAATCATAGCAATGTTTTTGGTTGGCAAGGCAGTTTGCCCCGCTTTGAAATCTTAGAGTGCTGTACAATTGCTTCATTTCAAAAAACGGCCAAAGGTCACTGGGAATGCGATGCCCAAAATGCAATGTCTTTTCGTGTGGCAGCAGTAACATTTGTTGTTATGGTCACGAACTACATCTCCTGGAAATTCACTAGCTAGGTCATGAACGTGTCCTTGGTCACCTTGTGCATCTAGTGCCCCACCAAACGTAGCTAGGTCCAACGTTGTTCGAATTCCTCCAGAACAATTCTTCTGTAGTGATCCCCACGCCAACCCTACTATCACAAATGAAGTCTGGTGCTTGGCTAAAGCGGTAGTTTTTGCCACTGTGCGAGCGATGCCGGGGAGCTCTTCAAAGTCTTCACCCCACATATTGGGTTCTGCAGAATAAACTTCGTTGCCCTGGCAGCAAAACGCTTGGCTTCGCGGGTTGTCCTTGATACTTTCTCGAATTTTTCCTTCGTTGAGAATAGACACGGCATTTTCTTCCCTTGTTGCGTGACCAAAAAAGAGTAGTCGATTTCGTCTGCTGGTCAAAGGTGGCTGTTTTGTGTTGAAAGCTTTGAATAAAACCAAAGCAAAATTGCATGGTTTCAAATGTTCACCTTCTTGTGGTTCAAAGTGTAGGAGCAAACTGTGTTGCAAATCTTGTGGTGCCAGTCTACTTTTTGCCAAAATTGAAGCGACTTCATGAAAATTCTTCTTGTCAATCTCAAATTGCTTGGGAAAAAGCCCGTCAAGCTTATCTGCAATTGTAATTGTTTTGGTGTTCGGAGGTGTCTGCGGTATGTTTGAATGCAAAAGGGTGGTAAAAGTGCTGGGTGACATCGTTTGCCGAGGGCTTCTGCTTCGTTGTGGTTGTGGGTGTTGCTGTCGCGGTGGTGGTAGTGATGCAGATTTTGATCCCAGTTGAAAACTTTGTGCTTGGTCACGTGTCAATGGTAATGTAGGTGCTGGTGGTGGCTGGAGTTTTTGCTTCACTTGCTGTAAAAAAGAAATGGTTGGTGTTGCTGCTGGTTTGTAGTTGGGCCCGGGATCAAAAGGTTGCAGAATAGGCTGGGCTGGCAAGTGTGTTTGCTTGGTTTGTCCTGGAGCTGGTGGAGGTGGCAACGGGCTTGGTGGGTAAACGAATGCTCGCGGTAAGTTGTTGAGAGGATGTAGATCTTGATGTAGCGCGTTCGCAACTGATGCCCGAGAGGTACTCGATGTTGCTGCCGATTGCGTTGACATAGCCCGCTGGTTCAACGGTAGCAGCTTCGGAGTGAAGATAGTGAACGACATTGCTGGCCGGATAGGTTAAACAATAATGTGAGCTCACACATTAAAGAAACTGTTCCACTTTTCAACAGATTAACGTAACTTCCCGAAAAGCCTGAACAACTGAGTTTAAAAAACGAAACAACCTAACAACCCCACAAACAAACACATAAGCCCTTCAAAAATTCCGGACAACTCCTAGACGTCACCGGGGCACTAGTCTCCAAAGTAAAAGTAAAAGTAACTGGGGCGGCGTTTGTGGTGGCTCCAAAAAATGTTGAAACCCCAAACCAAAATGGAAAACAGTGGAAGGCCATAAAAATTGGAACCAGGGGACGTATGAACGGTTGTGAGGTGTGAACATTTAACTTGGGAAATTCACTGTGGTTGGAAGCATGAAATATGCCAACAAATGGTCTGAGAATGCTGAAACGGCACAGCAAATGGAGAAAAATAGCTCGATCTCGCTTGCATTCTCGTTTCTAACTGTGCTCGTGCAAGCACTCTTACAACAGTGTCGTTCCGAAAGCAAAAGGTGCATTCAAATACCAGGTTTGGAAAAAAACACAAAAATCCAGGATCGAGTAGAAAGGAAATTGCCAAGATTCATGTGTGTGTCACCGACGCTGGTTGGTTGCCCTCCAAACAAGCAAAAACAATCCACACCGCTGCGACCAAAGACATTGCCAAGATTCATGTGTGTGTCACCGACGCTGGTTGGTTGCCCTCCAAACAAGCAAAAACAATCCACACCGCTGCGACCAAAGCATCCCACATACACAAACATAAACAAAAACAAACAGACGTTAACACACACACACATGCATCAGAACAAACATACTGAGGGAAAGAGGAGGAGGGAAGAAGATGGTGCTGAATGATGAAAGTGAAGATGATGAGAAATGACTGCGTGCCTAGTCCTCGACCTTGAAGGTAAACCAGGAGAAAAGCGAGATGAATCAAGCTTTTCAGAAACCAGTTGGAAACCAAAGGATGTTCACACACTGGGGTAGTAGAGAAACGAGCTGGAATAAATCTGAGCCATGCTCGAAAAGTTAACAGAAAAATCTCATAGACAGCGGCGCTTGCGCTTAAACTGGTAAAGTTGGAGGGGAAAAAAACCCAAAACTTGGAATTTGGGAGGAGAGCGTTTTGCACACTATCCAAAACTGTTGAACTTGAGAGGGCAAGCCTTCTCTAAACCGGCACAATGGCCAAGGTGGGATAAATCCCAAACTACTTGAGCATAAAGCTCCACCTCGTCGCCCTCCCTTGCAGACTTTGGGGAGAGTTCAGTAGCCGACTCGACGGAGCGAAAACGGCCCGCATCTGACACACTTGTAGTGTTACCGCTGAGCGGCCCCCAGTCTTATGCGAACATCCTGATCCAATCGCAGATCTTTTGGAGTTCTTTATGCATAGCCGGAGTTTTGTCGCGCTGGCCAGTTAAACTGACGCAGGGATGAAAATGAAAGAAATCTGTCTCTGTCTCTTTGCAGTTTCGGATGCTCTGCTGGGTTTCCTCATCAGGATGCCCAAGCCCAGCAGAGTGGGCACCGACTGCTTCTCTTGTCTCTCTTTGTTTCTTTGCGCGAAATGGATGATGATGACATGAAACCAGAGGTGAAAGAGGGAACAAGGAAAGGTAAGAACAGGACATGCATTCCCTTGGCTAACAGGGTTCCGCACACACACACACACGCCCTGTGCGGTCAAGAGGACCGCTCTCAAGTGACGAGGAGTCACAGGATTGTGCTTTTAGTTGCCCCCCACGCGGCGCTGGTCGATTGGACGCTTGGCCATAGCACTTTCCGGGTGAGCTCCGGCAACACTGACTGGCTCAGGGGATCCCAGCTGGCGACAGACAGCAAATTGTTGGCTTTTTGATTTTTGCACATTGGATCGACCTTTTCATTGACCATTGGCCCCACCTGCTGGACAACGTATCCCTTGTGGGGTCATCGGTACAGTTCAATCAATGCGACAATTTTTGTGCTGGTTGGGGATTCTCACCATCTTGGACCTCTTGCACCGCGCCCCGGTCCCAAATCCGGGGATGACCACGGATACATATGATCACTCAGGAACCGCATCTCAGCAAAAACGATTATATGAGTGTCAGGGCTTCCGATTTTCTGGTCATCAGGGTGAGGGTTACTGTGGTTCCATACCCACAGTGGGAGCAGACAGTTGGATAACAGCATTTTGTCAAGGCTCTGCAAAAAATGGAAAACAGCCGCCAATGAGCAGCAGCTCCAATCGTCCCACTGCACCTTTTACAGCAGTACAGAAGAGGAGCTACAAACGGGCCTGCCGCAGAGCGATTTTGAATGGGTTTTCCCATTATCATGGACACCGCATGCAGGTAGAGGACTTCCCACCGGCCTTGGTTCAGAAGCTTCAATCAGAATTCAAACCACCACGAGGTCCTCAAACTTACAAGACAGCGGTACCATGCAAAGGTCGATTAACCTGTCTGCATTGGAATCCTGGAGGATTGGCCCAGACCACGCTGGCTGAAATACGCCTTTGGCTACAACGTCACCCAGTGGACATTGTTGTATTAACAGAGACGCGTTGGAGCTTTTCAGCCACTTGGAGTGACAAGGCATGGATATATGTGCATTCGGCTTCTGCAGATTACAAAAGTGGGGGCATTTTGATTATGATCTCCAGACGTTTGGCATGCCCCGAACAAATTGGCCATCAGGCCATTGTGGATGGCCGTCTTGTGCATGTCAGGGTGCATTTTGACTCTCGAGCGCTGGACATCTTGGCGATTTACCAGCATGTTGACAGCAGGAACAAGCTCTCTGCTCAGCAAAGGGAACAGATCTGGGATGCCCTCAACACGGCCCTTGACAAACAACCTTCCCGTAACAACTTGATTTGTGCAGGAGATTTCAACTGTTCGCTGGATTCCCATCCTCCGTGGATTGGTACATCCTCATACAAATGGCATGGGCGGATGACCACTGGTTCCACTCATCGGGATCAGGCAAGACTCCAAGGAATTCTGAAGCTGCATGGCCTCACAGCCATCAACACTTGGGGTGCCTCAGGAGCCACTTATGTCCATGGGGAAACCACATCCAGGATTGATCACTTTCTGATTAAATTGCTAGCCAGTGATGGAATCTCCAAGCAAGTCCAGTTTTTGACTGACGCAGATTTTGTACCAGCCAACAGCACACATCACATACCCATACTATGTAACGTCAGGGCCAAGCACATGGCATATCAAACCTATGATCGGCCTACATCATGCACTTACATGCAACGGTCCCAGTGTAGGATTGCCGGACTTCAGGAGACCCAAGCATGGCACGACTTACGACAACAAGTTGTGACAGCAGTTCATGCGGACCACCAGGCCCTTTCACCAGAAGCTCTCATTCAAAAAATGCATGACCAGGTCTCTATTGCGTTTCACCAATTTTTTTCCCCCAAGAACCCCCCAGTGACTCAGGCAGACCTTTCCGTGGTCCATCAAACCATTGTAGATAAATGGCATTTCAAGAAGCAATTGTGGCACCTTGCAAATACAGGCAGAGTGAACTTGTCCACGATGATGCAGGCATGGCACCACCGCAGCCGATACCAAGTGCTCCAACGTACACAACAGAAGGCACTTCGACAGGCCCGAAAAGAACAGTTTCAGGCGTTGTGCCATGAGGTATCCAATGCAGCGCATGTCCATGACACGCACTCCATGTTCAACATCATCAACCGATTTGCGCCCAAACGTCCATTGACACGGGCAAGACTTAGGGGACCAGATGGTACCATTGCCGACCAATACATGGCACATTCCCTCACAGTGGCATTTGTGAAACAGATGTGGCAAGGCCCCAGCCGTTTGCCGACATTCTTTGATGCGCCACCGGGAATTCCTTTTGAGTTAGCAGAATTGGCTGATGCGGTGGCAAAGGTCCACACCAACAAGTCAGTTGCGCAGCCTTTCCTACCAGGCGTAGTCTGGCGCAGTGCTCCTTGGGAAGTAGCCAGCTTTGTTTACAGTCTTCTCCAAGACTGGTGGTCCCAGTCACCCCCAATCATTCCCAAAAATTGGAAGGACTCTTGGTTATTTTTCCTCCCCAAACCGGGAAAACCCAATACACATCCCGACCAATTACGACCCATATCACTCATGGAGCCGTTGGGGAAAATAGTCATGGGGCTGATCACCATCAAAATCAAAGCTTGTATTTTTCCACTGTTGAATCAATTACCGCAGTTTGGATTTTTGCCATACCGTGCCGCAACTGACGCGATCCTGCGGGTTTCACGCCATAGTAGATGCGTCAGGGAGATGGTGGCCGCCAATCGACGTACCACCAAGAACCAAATTGACAACCAGGCCAAACTCACCATTTGTGGAGGACTCTCATTGTTCTTGGATTTGAATCGTGCCTTTGACAGTGCCGATAGGTGTGCCATCTTTGAACATCTCATCCAATTAGGCACCCCACCCAATTTGGTGCAGCTGGCAGCCAGCTGGCATGAAGACACTCATTACAACCTGTCATTCAGGGGTACCACCACATCAATTCCGGTAGGGAAAGGCCTACGACAAGGATGTAAACTGGCCCCCCTGTTGTGGGTTAGTTTTATGGACCTTCTGTTGCGAAAGGTCGCACACATCACTGGGTATCAATGGGTTCATGATTGCCTGACGATCTACGCAGACGACGTGCATGTTGGTTGCCTGTTCCGGTCCAAACATGAACTACACAGCCATTTGGAGAACATTGGCCATACCCTTGACGTGATTGAAAGCATGAAGTTGTCTTTGTCTTACTCCAAGTCTCACATGCTGATTGCCTATGCCGGCACCAACGCACGGGTAGCTCTCAAAGGCGTAATGCAACGATCGCCCACGGGCGCCAGCATCCGAGTGCCCCGCCTGGGAAGAGAACACACCTGCCTACCGCTGCGAAGTAAGGGATCTTATCTTGGTGTTTGCATCAGCTATCATGCCTTTGAGCTTCAGACTTGGCATCACCGCAAACAAGCCAGTTGGTTAGCTTTTGCCCGGTTGCGTGCCTGGCTCAGAAGCAGGCAATTGACGCGTGCTCACCGCATGTATCTGTGGAAGACTTGTGTGTTTACGGTGCTCACTTATGGCCTACTCGCTACCAATGTGACCATACCAGTCCTTTTTGACTTTCAGGGAACGATATACAAAATGGTCCGTATAGTGCTGCAAGACCATTCGTATATTACGCACAACACGCATCAAGCTGCATTTCAACAGCATCAGATCGATCCTCCGCTTGAGATGCTTCGTGCCCTTGCCATGGGCCTGCTGCAACGCATCCAGAGGCGTGCAACCATTTTGAGCCCTAATGATTTCTTGCGTCATTTGGATTGGACCCAGCTACACGACCTCTTGCATCTCATTCAAAGCATGCAAGTGCATGCACCGGAGGTGCCCATAAGTGCCAGCCCTGACGATCCGATCAGAGTTCAGGCACGTCAGCAGTGTCCATATTGCCAGTTTGCCACAGATTCAATTCCTAATCTGCGCCGACATTTGACCACACATCATGACAGCCCACAGTACCGCACGATTTCTACTTCCCCAATTGCAATGACATTGAATGGTAAACCCCAATGTAACAATTGTCATTTTACCTTCTCCTCATGGAAAGCCTTTATAGTGCATGTTCAAAGAGCTTGCTGTCAGGTGCCTCCCATGTTGCCCACATCGACCACAGATGTCCGGCTCACGCCACTGACAGCCAGAGACACAGTGTACAGGCACTTTCAGGTGACAACACAGCCGTTCTGGCCTGAGTTAGAACATTGTCTGCACAATGATGATTGGCCCACCCTCTGCCAACTGTCGGTGGGTTTGGAACATCTCACACATCACTGTGTCATCTGTGGCACCTGGTGCAACAGGTTTCAGGAATTGCACAGCCACTACCGCCTATACCATGATGAACAGTTGAAGGGTGGCGTAGTCAAAGGAGCCCAACTCACGCATGTGATGCAGCTGGCCTCGCCGTGTGCTCTGTGCGCCAAGCAGTACAGCCGGGTCCATAGCTGCCCAGTGACGCTTCAGCTTGGCATTCTCCGGCTCCAGCTACAGGAACCAGACATCCGTGCTCAGCAGGAACTGACATGTGAAATTTGTGTTCAGCAGTTTGACGATCAAGGACAATTGTATCAGCACATGGCCAGGGACCACAACCACACCCTGAACGATTGGGTCCCTTCCAGGGACTCAGTTCAGGGCAGTGACCAATGCAGGCACTGCTCTATGCAGTTCGACAGTCGCTCAGGCCTGAGACGCCACATAACTGAGGGTAGATGCGAGGCATTTGATCCGTTGGCTTCACACAATCCAATGGACAACACACACGGATGGAGCACATGGCTGCAGAAAGGGGATTTTTCTCCCTCTGGCCTTTCAGCACACCAGAGGCTTCAGCTGACGACCACATGTCAGTTTTGTGAGGCAAAGTACATGCGCACAGGTGATGTTGTTGCGCATCTACTCCAATCACATGGACCTTTGTGGAACTCATCGCAACCCATGCTGAGGTACCTCTTGCAGGTAGTCATGGCCTCTCGAGGTTGCATTTGCAACCCTCAGGCGCACGAAGTTGGACTTGCCCACATTTGTACACCATTGCGTCAGGTTGCGATGATGATGGTCAACAGTGATGTGCAGCTTTTGGTCCCGACTCAGTTTCATGTGGACACATTGGCACCCTTGCTTACGCCATTGCGGGATGAAGCACTGACACAACAGATGATTGCTGCTTTGGTCTCAGGGACTTTGCCAAGCTCTGGACTGATGCAACGGTGGTGCAAGCCCTGAAATCCAGATGCATGACATGTGGAGGCCACTATCCACCTGCAGAGCTACTGCGACACCTTTTGACGGTGCACCCTCAAACATGTGCGTGGGCTACTCAGATTGCCTTTCAACTGCATGACCTTTTGCCACAGCTGCAGTCGCAAGATTTTCAGTGCATGTTGTGCCAACAAGTTTACAACTTGCCTGCAAATGACAATGATCTGCCACAGCAAAGACAGCAGATCCAACGGAGTCATTTTGTCTCAAGCTGCCCGGTGGTCCTCCAGATTGCCATTCTGCTACAGCCTATCCATGGACGCTCTGATGGATCCGAACGACCAGGCTCTGATGGATGGATTGGCAGCCCTTGGCCCGCTCCTGTTGGGCTCTCGGAAGCATCACGAGGGAAGCGTCGAAGAACAGCATCCCAAGCGGCACAAGGCCAAGGCCAAAGAAGAACAGGAGCACGACGGGCTCAACAAGGAGGCGATCACAACGCTCCTTCGACTGATGGGACAACTTCTTCTCAGCCACGAGAGGAGCATCCAGCTCAACCAAAGGCAGGACTGCTTCGTTTTGTTTTGCCAAAATCGACCAGAAGGCATAGTTCCTCATCTCACGACGTTGGCCAGCAAATGGCGCGAGGAGTTGCCCCAGCAGAAGGACAACATGAGATGGCCCAATCTCAGGACCTACCTGATGAAGGGAGTGATCACAGAACTCCACCGTCGGGTCCAGCAGCTGGCAGCCAGCAAACCAGGCGACCAGCTTTGGGACGTAGCGGTGAACAAAGGCACAATTCACCCGGACGGGAGCTGGAGTTACCAGAAGTGGTCCCCGGAGCAGAAGCAGCTGATCAAGGCCTCCCGCAGCCCAGTGGCCATGGCGCAGATGCTTCGGAATCTCCAGATCCTGGAGGAGCACTTCCAGAGCAACGCACACGTGATGCGGTTTCAGAGCCTCAAGAACACCCAGAACAGCCAGGAAGCAATCCCGTGGATCTTACAGATCTCACATCGAGAAGCAGAAGCCTGGGAACTCATGGTGGAGCTCTGCCACAACACAGTGTGGTCGTTGCTTGGAATGTCGGTCAAACAGCATTCCCAGGTGCTCTCGAAACCGGCCTTGCTCCTTCAACAAACCATGGGCAAAGGCCACAACCCCCAGGGGAAGAGCCGCGGCCGCGGGAAAGGCAAGACCTCTCAGAGCCCTTAGATGCGGCTGCCAGACAAAGCTTGCGCGACCGGGCCTTGCAGCTTGCCATGGCCAATCCGGGGAATGACTGCTATGCCAATAGCGCTTTTGTGAGCATGATCTGGGCCACACTATCCAGATCTGCATTCACATTTCAAGACTGGGGCGCACGATCAGCCATCCTACAACAAACCCTCGAACATGCAGACGGGACCCTTTTTTCACTTGAAAATGCTTCATGGTTTCAGCACTTATTAGAGGGTTGGAATGAGGATGGGGAGCAGGCTGACAGTGCGGAGTTTACACACATGTTATCCAGCTGGACTGCAATGTCGGCCATATCCAATTGCTGGGAGCGCCGAGTGCAAACAGAACAAAGCACTGTGTTACATGATGCAGGTGACAAATTCATGCCATTGACACTGCAATTTGACCCTCAGCTTGTAGATCATCATGAAATCCAATTGTCTGCGCTGCTTAGGATGTGGCACACCGAGCTTGGTATGCTGGCTGGTCTCACGGACCCTGAGGACTTGTTGCTTTTGCATGTGGACCGCATGATCCATGCTCCTGATGGCACGGTTGCCAAATGCCAAGCTGCCCTTCGGTTTGGATGGGAAGTCCAGTTACCAGTCTTGGGGTCCCATGCATGCACATGGATGCCATACACCGTGATTGCCTGCATCGCTCACTTGGGAGGTCCCCAGAACGGTCACTATCAGGCCATACTCCGTACCTACCCAGAAGTTTCGGATTTGGCCAGTCCCTCAATGTGGATGCTATGCGACGATGGACATGCCCCACAGCGCATTTTGAATATCCCTGAGATTTTTGCACAGGGTATTACATGCCTTTGGATGTGCCAGACAAACAAGGCCGACCTCCACAGATTGATGCCAGGCAGAGCACCTACAGGCATTGCTGACTCCGATCTCCTGGCTCTTTTGGCCACGCAGCCGGATCCGGAACCGTGACATTGTGAGATTTCATCCATGCACCCAGCTTCCCCAGCTGGTTTGTCCCTCGCACCCCTGTTCAAGCCCTCTGAAGCCCAGAGTGTACCCCAGTCAGAGAGGGCCACGAAAAGAAGCCAAAAAAAAAATAAAAAATCGTCTCACCATGGAATCCAACGTGGCTAACTCCCCTGGTGGGTCGCCCAGCGATTCAGGACCTTCCAAGCTGACCGACACGTCAGCCATGCGAGATGCGTCATTCACACCAGTGCACTAGTGAGACTCATGTCATGGATGAATCCTTTGCCGAGCTGCCCTCCTTTGCCTCCCCTAGTCACCAGTTGTGTCACATCATTTCCAGTCACTGCCCATGATCGTTTCACTTCGGCATTTTGCTATGGCCTAGCAGGCGAACAAAGTTGACGGTTTTGCACAGGCATTTTGCCTTCCGCTGCAGCTTGCAGCTTTGCACTCTGAGGACACCTGTGGTGGGCTTCATCACCATTGCCATTTTGGCATTGTTTCACTGCGGCATTTTGCTAAGGCCTAGCCGGCGCTCCCATCGAAGTTCGGATGATGGCATTTTGCCAAAAAAAAAAGGAGAACCAGAGGCCATGCAACGTACCTCTGACCACTGTTTGCCTAGCAGGTGCATATGACTTCCCTTGCCTGACCAATGCATTGGAGAAGACTGGACACGCATTGCCTTGAGACACGTCCCTGGCATGACCTAGCCTGTTGCCACCCCCATGCACCCAGTTGCCCAAACTGGTAGATCCCCCTTTCTCCCGGTTTACATGCCCTCTGAATCCCAGAGCGTACCCCCAGTGTTACAGGGCCACAAAAAGAAGCCCAACAAAAAAAAAAAAGATGAGGGGCCACAAAAAGAAGCCAAAAAAAAAACAAAAAAAACCCAATTTTGTTGCTTCTCAATTAGCGAAGTTTCACAATGCTGTGACCAAAGCGGCCAACTCCCCCGGTGGGTCGCCCAGCGTCACATAGGCCCTGCAATTTGAGACCTGAGGCCACACTGTAGCTCTAAATGGTCTTCTCTAGCTGCCCTGCCTTTTTCCCCACAGGCACGGCAGGCTGCTATGGTGCGTAAGGACAGATTCTCACCAGGAGAACCAAATGCATAATCCATGCATTTGAAGGGCTAGCGCCGACTCTGACTTCAGAAAAGGAGCGTGGAAAAAAAACACACACACACACAAGCCCCTTTGCGGCCTCGGGTGCCGCACCTCAAGTGTCTCGAACGAGACCGGGCCGTACCCCCGCGACTGTGTGTTGCCACGTTTCCTTTTCGGCGCCATATTCATTGCTGTCCTCTTCATTTGGTGGAAGTGCATTGGACGACGTGGGGTGGGCTCCCGTGGTACAGTTTTGTTTTCTGGCCCCTGTGAAGCATCAATCTTGGAATTGGCTTGCCTTGGCGTTGATTGGGCTCTACATCAATTTTTTTTATTTGTGCAGTTACAGACAAGCTTCTACACTGAGCTCGGTTCTTTGACCCTCGAAGGTGGAAACAACACTGTGGGGTGGCTCCCATCTTACACTGACTGGCCTGTTTCCACCTTTCAACGTCTTTTTGGGAAATAATTTACAACACTGGACAGACAGCATCTTTATTTCTTTGAACTGGTGGTGCATCGAGGCAGTGCATTGCAATTTCAACCGGAACTCTTGGACGTTTGCCACAAACTGAGTTGGACATCTGTCCCACCATCTTGAGCTACAAGGTCACTTGACTGTTCCACTACACCAACACTTTTTGTCCTTGCCATCAACTCCAGCTTGGTCTGATCCGTGCCATTGAACTTTTACTGACTTTCATACCATTGAGCCACTGCACCGCCTGTGCCAGTGCATCTTGGTGGGAACAAGGCGTCATATTAGTCCAACTGGACACATCCTCGAGGCGTATACAGTGTTCTTCAGCTGTCCTGGCTGACCACTTCTCCACGAGCCTGGCCGCAGCCCATACGCGTGCCAAACAGACACAAACATACCATCATAGCGAGACAAAATTTGCCTGCCCTTGTATCAGTGTAATCCCCCCTGTAATCACTCATAAATTTCTAAATAGCCCTAAGCCAGCCCTAAAACTATAAGCCTTTTTTCTAAGATTCAATAGATACCCTCAAGCCAGACGCTGCCGAGACCTTGACAGTGCAGCTGCAGCCAAACCCGTGCTGCTGCAAATCCGGTCCCAAGTCCGGACGTGTAGTGTGGACCTCTTTGTATCCTTGATTGTCCCACCAAGACTTTCCTAATGGCGGGATCCATGCTGCATGGGGGTGAGGGTTGTGGGTTCTTGCCGTGGGAACCCATGGGAGCTGACTTCAACGATGAAGCACTGGCCTCCCTAATGACAGCAAAAATTCACGGCCAACCGCCACTCGAGGGCTACGGCCCATTGAAATATCCTTCCAACATGCGTAACATGAAAGCTATCCAAAAGAGAAGCTTCAAACGTGCTTTTGCACGGGCTACACGTGATGGCATAGCCTGGTATAGAGGAACTTGTATGACCCCTAGTGATTTTCCAGTTCATTTGAAGCCATCTTTGCATTCGAGCCCCAGCCGCCCGGCTGGTGTACCGCCAAAAGCTGCCAGTCCGAGATCCCCATCTCATCGCCTTAACATTGCCCAATTTAACGTAGGTGGACTCTCAACCCATAAACTCGAAGAGATAAAATGTTGGGGTCTACACATTTGTGCAGATGTTATTGTGCTTCTTGAGACCAGATGGAGTTTTTCATCTGAGTGGTCAGATGGAACATGGCATGCCATACATAGTGGCACACCTAATGATCGTGCTGACGGCATCATGATCCTTGTCAGGACTTCAGCAATGCAACCAGCTCAGATTGGGAGCGCTGAACTCATCCCTGGACGCCTATTGCATGTCCGTTTACATTTCAGGCAACGTGCCTGTGACCTGCTCTGCTGTTACAACCATGCAGACGATCGCACGGTTACCAGATTGCAGCAGAGAGCCCAGTTTTGGACAGCATTAGATTCAGGTTTAGCCAGGCTTCCCAATAGGAATTCACTTCTTATAGCTGGCGATCTCAATTGCTCAATCCAAGCTGATGGTGAACATGTTGGAACTGATTTTTTCACTTGGAATGGACGCCCACACAAGGGTCCTCAACACCGAGATATGCATTGTTTTCAGGATCTATTGCGTAAACATCATCTCACCATCTTGAATGGATGGAATGCCCAAAATGGCCCCACATATCGGAGTGACCTTGCAGCATCCCGCATTGATTTCTTCATATCAAGGACTGCTGAGGCTGATGGTTTTGCTAGGGATGTGAAATACTTGACAGATGCTGACATAGTCCAACTCACTGGATCAACGCACATTCCCTTATTCTGCAGTATCCGTAAATACCACTTCTCGTATAGGAACCCCCACCAATTCTCAGGGTATACCTATAATCAAAGAATGAAATGTAGACTTGACTGGCAAGCGGGTGCTGACACTTGGACTCATTTGATGGAAGCCACAGATATGGCCCTGCACAATGTATTCTGCTCACATGACATGAGTGCTGATGCCATCCAGAGTTTTCATGATCAGATGGGCGCATGTTTTCAACAACATTACCCTTGCCAGGTCATGGCCAGACAGCCGAAACCAAGTCATCATGACAGCCTCATTCAACAGAAGTGGTTTTTTCATCGGCAGATCAAAAACAATCGATCGATGACCTTGCGTGCAATTTTTCATGTGTGGAAGTGCCACAGCCGCTATACTGCTTTGAATAAAGAACATCGAAAAAGCACGAAACTGCTCAAAAAACAGCGTTTCTTTGACCTTCTTCACTCTGTTCAGCAGGCGGCTGACAAACATGATAGCTTTGAGGTTCATCAGATCATTGCCAAGTACTCTCCAAAGCAGCCCAAAAAGAGGATTCAGCTCAGAAATGCTGATGGAACGCCTGCCTCACCAGCTGAGGCGCTCCAGCTCACCCAGACCTTTGTTGAGTCCATCTGGTCTGGTGATGACCCGGTCAACCTTGGTCCACGGGACCCCCCTGGGGTACCTGTTTCCATTGCAGACCTTGAACATGAGCTGTTGCACTTGCCACACAACAAGTCAGTGGCAAAACCGTTCCTCCCAGCCATAGTCATTAAGCAACATGCCACCACCATTGCCCCATGGCTGCATAGTCTTTTAACCATTTGGTGGTCCTTTTCAACCCCTTACATCCCAGAGGTGTGGAAAAATGCCTGGGTGACCCTCATCCCCAAACCTCATAAGAGTCCTTGTAAGGTTGAAAACTTAAGATTTCTAGCACTACAGGAGCCCCTGGGTAAGTGCGTGATCGGCGCACTCACCCGAAAATTACTAGCTGCCACCAGTGCCAGTTTGCTGCCCTGGCCACAATTTGCTTTCCTTCCCCATCGATCAACAGGAGATGCAATTAGACGGGTGGCAGCCCATTGCCAAGATGTCCGATGTCTCATTGAGAATCAGAAGAGAACAGCGCACCGACGTGCAGAACCCTGAATTCTTTAATTGTTGTGGAGGAATCCAAATCTTTTTAGATATTCAGCGTGCGTTTGATCAGCTTCCTCGCCAAAACCTTTTTGAGCATTTGGACACTCTTCACAATGAGCCAGCGCTGACCACCATCCTGGCCCATTGGCACACCGAGACAAACTACTGCATTGATCAGGCAGGGGGTTCAGTGCCAGTCAAGACCACCAAGGGAGTGCGCCAAGGCTGTCGTGCAGCCCCACTCTTATGGAACTGTTTTTTGGATCAGTTGTTTCGCCAGCTGGCCATGCAGGTATCCCCACAATGGGTGAAAACCACACTAACTGCTTTTGCGGACGACCTCCACCAGGGTTCTGTTTTTAAATCCATTCCCCAACTAATGACTGAAATTAATAGGATTGGACTTATTCTAGACACCCTGGAATCCATGGGCCTGCGCCTGTCCCTAGAAAAGTCATATATACTTTTGGCACTTGCCGGTCCCAAAAGCCGCAAACTGAGAAGCCAACTTCTCAAGCATGATGGAAACACCACCTACCTGGAAATCCCCAGGGCCAATGGAACCTGCAGCCGCATCCCGGTGAAAAGAACTGCTGATTACCTGGGGACGCAATTGAGTTACACCAACCATGAACAGTTGACGTTTGCCAAGCGATTGCAATGTGCCCGCATCACTTTTCATCGTTTGAGAAGATGGTTGAACACGTCACACATCAGCTTGACTCATCGACTGCAGCTCTGGCGTGCCAGTGTCGTTTCAACATTGATGTATGGCATGCTTGCGGTGAACCTCACACTTCCCATCATCAAACGTTTTCAGACTGTCATTTTTGGCATGTACAGAACTTTAACCAGGAATCACAGTTTCAGAACACATGACAGCCATTTCACAGTTTTGCAAAGATATCAGCTTGAACATCCTGTGCATCTGTTGCTGCGCCATGCAAAGCAGCTCCAACACCGCATCGGTCAGAGAACCCAGTTTCTGTCGACAGAAGATATCCTGCTCACTGTTGACTGGAGCACGTTACAACAGAATCAGCAGATGCTGCATGTGGCACTTGAGGTCCAAAGCCATGTTTCACCAACAGCTGATCAGAACCTCGAGGTGCCCTTGGACCCAATTTATGCTTGTTCACAATGTGACTTTGCTGCCACGAGCATTGCCAACTTGCGCAGACACCAAACCACGGTGCACAAACGGCCACATTTCCGTTCGAGCATTGGTCACACCATGGCATGTGCAGTGAATGGTCTCCCACAGTGTGTTTTCTGTTTCAAAACCTTTACCACTTGGAGAAATTTTCAAATTCACTTGGATCGACAATGTTGCCAGGTACGCCCTTGTGACCGTGGCATGAACCTAGAGGCCCTTCTTCGTGAGGAAGAAGAACAGCGCATTTTGCGTCTCCATCAGAACTTGACAGCACAGCTTCTGACCAAGGAGTACGGACGTGCTTTGCTCCAAGTTGTGGCCACTGGCAATTGGAATGCCTTGCAGACCTTGGTCCCAGCTTGCAAGGCTCTTGCCCACCAGTGCTGCGTTTGTGATTTTCACTTCAACAGAGCACAAGAGCTACACGTTCATCTGCGTGTCCATCATCCACAGTGGGTGGCACACACCTTCACCAAGGCCTCACAGCTTTGCCGTGGATTTGCCAGCAACTCACCGTGCAGATATTGCGATACCAGCTTTAGACAGGCTCACTCATGCCCTGTCCTTACACAGGCAGCCATGCTGATGCTTCACATGCCGACTGAATCAGGCGTTCCTGAGATCCCTCCAAGGGCGGCATTGCGGTGTGACATTTGTGGCCTCCAGGCTGACTCCTTAGATGAGATCCATGACCATTTGGCCACTGCACATCGTTTAGCATTTCATGATTGGCAGCCGGAACGCGACTTGATGGGATCTGACCCAGCTTGCAATCACTGTGCAACACCTTTTGCCAGTGTCTCTGCAGTCAGGCAACATGTGACCTTGGGCCAATGCCGTGCCTTCGACCCGTGCAGATCCCCATTTTTGTTGCCCATTGCAGATGAGCTGACACAGATGCTTCAGACCGGTGACTTTCAACAATTTTTGAGAGATCCAATGAAAAGGATGCGCATGACCTTACATTGTGCTCAGTGTGGAGCCCGCTACACGAGGTCCAATGACCTTATGCTGCACCTGCAGACCGCTCACTCAGTCATGTGGAATCAGGCCCAGGCCATGACACGCCTCCTCATCAAGGTCTTGACCCCAGACAACCCATGCGTCTGCAATCCAAATGTGGGCAGGATCACATTGACACATGTCTGTCCTTTCTTTCGGCAGATGGCGATGCTCTCCACCAGATCCTCAGTGGAATTGTTTTTGCCTTGGCGCTCAGATAGAGGCAGTTTGGAAACGCTTCTTCATCCATGTCACCAACATGCAGCTGTTGTGCAGCTTTTGGATGCCATTCAGGACAGACAACTGACGGTGATTTTGCAAAACCCTGTGCTGCTTGAGTTTTTGCGCTCCACTTGCGTCCTTTGTGGAGGTGCTTTTCACCCGGCTCTGCTGCGCGATCACGTGCTCCATGTCCATGACTCAAACCTGAGCAGGATCACTGAAGTTTTGCCCTTCATCTATGATGTTTATATGAAGGTTGCACATACTGATTTCCAGTGTGCTCAATGCAATCAAATCTTCAACTTGCCACTGCTTGGGGACCCGCCACTTGCAGAACAGCACACGCGGCAAACTCTGGTTCTAGCCCACTTTCAGCAGTGCCCAGTGATCCATCAGGTAGGCTTGCTCTTGACAGATGGACTCTACAGAGACGGTCGCCCTGTCTGGCAACGAGACCAAGGAGCTCCTGGCAACGTTTGCGGCGATGGCACCCTTGCTACAGAAAAGCAACCGGGGAGCAAACGCAGACGAACGGGACACCAAGAAGGTCAAGACCCAGCACAGACCTGCCCAGGGGGACAAGCCGGTGGATCTTCATCAGGTGGTGTTCCAGATGGCTCGGCTTCTGATCAAGCTGGACTCCGATCAGAACCTTCTGAGAAAGCAAGACTCCTTCGTCTTCTACATGCAAATGGAGCCAGAATCGGTGATCCACGAGCTGACGGCCAAGGCCAAGAGCTGGCACCAGGAGATGGCACAACCCGAGGGCCAGATGAGGACGCAGGTGTGGAAGCCGTTGAGAGTGACTCTGATGCAGACGCTGGCGCAAACGCTTCAGCACAGACTGATGCGCCTCTACAATGCCAAGGAGACAGATGCGCTTTGGCAGACAGCGCTGCAGCATCACCTTCTGACTGCTCAGGGGGAGTTCTACTTTCAGAGATGGGACCCAGCCACCCAGAAGCTGACGCAGACGGACCAGACTCCCATAGGGATGGACCGCATCAAGCGGTATGTGGATCAGCTGGTGGAGAACACGATGGAGCCCAACAACATCCTGAAATTTCACGCCCTGAAAGCGTCAGGGGATCAGAGAGTCACCCCTTGGCTCCTGCAGATCTCTCTCAGATGCGACGAGCTCCAACACCTCCTAGAGACACTAGCTGGATGCAAGGTATGGAACTTGCTGGGGGCGACGCTCAAGCTGCACACCCTTCACAACAGCTCCCAGGCGTTGCAGTTGCAGAACATGATGGGGAAGGGCAAGAGTGTGGGCAAAGGCAAGCAATCCAGGCAGTGAGCACTGACCGGCCATTTGATAGGCATGCCTTCCAGCTGCTACTCAGCACTCTGGTCTTTGACAATGACCGGAACCACTGCTTCATCAATGCAGCTGTGTATGCATCACTGTGGGCAATTCTGAGTCGTACTGACTTTCAAGTTTCCGATTTGGGGCCTAAGGCCACCCTGATTGTAGATGCCATCCGATCTCATGCACAGGTCCCCATGGTCCTAGCTGATCAAATTTGGTTGTCTGAAGTGATGCAATCATGGCAGAACCCACACAGTCAGGGTGATTCAGCTGAGTTCATCTCACACTTTCTTCGGGGCTTGCATCTTGATGGCTTCAATATGAAGTGGGAACGCAGGGTGCAAATCAATGACATGACCCGCCTGCTAGATGAAAGTGATGCCTGGACACCCATTACAGTTCAATTTGATGAGACAGATCTTGCTCTGACACCAGATGGCTACACAGCCCTTCAAACCATGCTGGACACATGGACGGGACAATATGGCATGGCTACTGCATTGGTTGGCCCATCACCATTGATTTGTATTCATGTTGACCGGTTTGTTCACCAAGGTACAGCTGCAGCCGTGAAATGTGACCGCCCCATTCACTTCCGATGGAGCATTGATTTGCCTTTTTTTCAAGATCACTCTGTGCAGACTGTGAAGAAAGGATATCAACTCATTTCTGCCGTGGCCCACCTAGGTAGTGATGGAAATGGACACTGTCAGGCACTGCTGACAACGTGGCCTGATATTTCCCAGGAACCGGTCAATTTCTTGCTGACCAATGATGGGTTGCAGCCGCAGCGCATCTGGGCGGAACCGGACTGGTTCAAACGCAATGTGACGGTATTCTGGTTATGTGACTGTGATTGCATTGATCACATCAGATTGCCTGCAGTTGCTCCGGTGCAGCCATTGCCAACCCTGACTGATGAAACCAATCCTGATGACATTTCACCGTTCAACCTTATCGGACGTATGTAGTTGCATAGCTCAGCCATTGGCACTTTGCCGCTGACCTGCACCCTGCCATCCGACGTAGCTCTAGCAGTCTAATTCGATGTCAGCCAGTTAGTATTTTAAAAAAAAAAGGCCCAAGAGGCAGAATGCCCACCAAACACGAAGGCCAAAAAAAAAACAAAAAAAATGAAGGCCCAAGAGGCGAAAAACCCAACAAGCACGAAGGCCCAAAAAAAAAACAACATGGTTTTGTCGAGCATGAATTCACTGCGATGCGGCACAGATCTGTCAAAGGACAGTTGCATGAAACTGGCTGACGTTTCACTTCATCTTTCTCCAATTCATTGTGGAGTTTTTGAGTCACAGTGACTTGCTCCACGGAAGGATCTTTCACAAAGACCTCCGTGTCAGGAGGCCAACATGTGTCTTCTGCATGTTGAGGCGCGCACGAGACTTTTCTTGGAAAAGGAGTGTTGGAAAAAACACACACACACAGACACAGACACAGACACACAGACACACACACTCAGACACACACACTCAGAGACACACACTCAGACACACACTCAGACACACAGATGCGTACGTTATTTTTATTCTTTTTTCCAGAGTTTCAACCCTGATTTTGGGGAAAAACTCTAGTCCCCTCAAGTCAGATGCATCAGGCACGGACCGATTAAACTCTTGAGCCCCGGAGCGTAGAAGCAGACTCCAAAGCACCCCCCGCTTCAACCTAATGATGTGAGTTGTGACAGGGTCATAGTGTTTTCCATGTTGGTCCTTGAGATCTGACGAACTAAGGTTGTGTTTTCGAGTGAGGACGGGAGAATCAAGGGGGTTACATGTCCAATCATAACTGGAGTAATCCTAAGTATAACTGTTCCTAACTTGTTTGCAGAGATAAGTGGTTTGCAATGCAGCTTAAATCTGTAAGAACAAATCCATGCCGGTGCATCCTGTCGGAGCCTTTATCCTGAGAGGATGTTGAACGCGGCATGTTGCAGCGGGCCAGCGATTGGTTCTCATCCTGGTGGACAGAGAAAGATTGAACCCAGACCGGGGATCGTCCAGATTCAGGATCAATGGAGAACTTGACCCCTGGGACCCAGAGATCCAAGCCTCGAAGCCTCGAAGAACGGGGGCCATTAGCGGATCCTCACGATGCGGAGCTGTGATGGCGCCAGGGTCGGTGTTCATACTCGTCGAAGTGCGCAGCTCGAAATGCACTCTGGTAGATCATGGTAAACCACCATGCAAAGCCATTTGTACAGGTTGAGCCTAGCGACTGCAAAAATTCATGGCAAGGCACACTGCGACGTGTAAGGACTGGGACAAACCCAGAGAACACAAGATTTCAGCTGACTTTCATCACTGAAATTTCATGCTCAGATGGTTTTCAGAGCCTTGCGCACTTTGGATGACAGGAACTATTCAGCCTTGCGCAAAGCCTCAATGAAGGCTGGTTGGGTTGGTGTGGCCGGTGGCAGATGCTAGGTTTTTTGTTTGCCTTGATTTTCTGACTTAACGGGCTGGGATAAACAAACTTTGGACTACACTCCACAGTGATCAGCCCCCCGGAAAAGCTTCTCGAGGTATGTACTGACGTCTGACAATACAAGTACATTTGTCTGACACATTTGCTGACATACATTAGCTGACATTCTTTTCTGACATATATATATATATACACACACACACACTACTAATAATAATAATGATAATAATAATACTACTACTAATAATAATACTAATAATACTACTAATAATAATACGAATAATACTAATAATAATAATACTAATAATAATAATAATAATATATATACATATATACATACATACTGGCATAACGTGACATCATCTCGAGATACGCACTGACAATTTCCTACATATAATATTGTGTTGTGTTTTTTGTCATGTTGTCTGACATACTATGTTACGTACAGAGTGACATGCTCTTCTGACATCGATTCCAAGATATTCCGAGATATGTACGGACAAAATCTGCCATAAATTCTGACACATGGAGGAAGGTACATGGATGAGAGACCCAGAAGACGAGGAAAGCAGATCTATTTCCCAACCTTTCCCAGTTCAAAGGTTGTGGTGCACCATTCACGGAAAAACCGTCAAGGCATTTCTATGTGCAGTGCAGTCTCAATCCTCCAATCATAAGAGTTCCATGTTGACTGCGTCTAGGTACCTGTTTTTGGGGTTTCAACAACTTATATGGGGTTTGCTTGATTATACAATTCATTGCTATCACAAGTTTTGTTTGGATTTGGCACACTTTCCCACAAGGATAGCACCTGCTTCCTGACATTTGGTTTTGTTCTATCGTCTTGGCGACCTTTAATTCACAATCGGCATGGCCCTTCTGTATTTGGCCCAAGACTCTTTTATGGTCGGGCAATAGTCGCTGGGCTGTGACCTAACGCCCCGCGAGCCCCAGAAATTGCTACCGAACAACTTTTTAACGCAGATGTATGGCTCCGCACCTGCGCCTGAAGATGATGACAAGCCATTCGCAGAGGGAGCTGCACCATACGTGGCAGAATTTGTAGGCACTTACCTGTTGGTCTTTGCCATTGCAGTGAACAGCATCTTAGCAGAGCCTTGGGGCCCAACAGCGATTGGAGCTCTGCTTGTGGTGCTGGTCTACATCTTTGGTCCGATCTCAGGAGCATATCTGAATCCTGCTGTTTCAGTCGCCGCCGGACTGGCGGGTCAAATTCCATGGAGGACAGTCATGGCGTACACCGTGTTGCAAATTACAGCAGGATTTATTGCAGGCCTGGCATGCTATGGAGTTTTTCAGATGCGCATGGGGGTAGCCCCTGTTGCACCCTTTCAGTTTTGGGAGGCAGCATTTCTGGAACTGCTATTCACTACAATGCTAGTGTTTGTGATTCTCAGCGTGACTGCTTCTAGGACAGGGCTGGCAAACAACTCTTGGATGCACATCAGCTGTCGAAAGAACCTGTTGTGTTCAATTCTTCTGTGTGGACAAATTCAAAGTACTCGTATGAAGCTGAATTGGACACGATGTGCTAGTGTTTGTATGGTTTAATAAGCTCATGGTATCATTTTCACGCCTTCATCATAAAAGCTCTACTCGAAAAAAATAAGTGAAGCTCAACGATTCGCGCGAATAAGCAATCCATAATGTGCTTCTGTTTCAACACATTTCAAGAACCACGTGAGAATCATGATGATATCGAATGATACCGACACTGAAGACCTGAAAGTTGGACAAATCAGCATCATGCGCAGATTTAGCATAACATCACATCAACATGATTCAAAATGATGATAGGCACACCACCGCAGTGAGAATATTTGAATCTTCAACCAGAACTTTTCACACTGCGCATGTTGAACTCATGGCTCAGGCCCTTCTTTGCCAGGACCAACAATCCCTCCAGTAACCAGAACAACTTCTCGGGTCTGGCCATTGGTCTAGTCATTGTAGCTGCTGGCCATGCAGCGGGTCCCATCTCCGGGGCTAGCTTGAACCCAGCTGCTGCCATTGGTTTGGAGGTTGGTGGGGATGATGGCGCCGAAGCCTTTGGCCTAGCCTATGCCTTCATTCAGCTGCTAGCCGGGTTCCTGGGTGCCGCCTGCTACCGCCTGGCGCGCAAGCATGAGTACCTGGAACTCTGTGGAGAGCCCAGCACGGCTTCCAAACTCTTCTGCGAGCTTTTTGGGACCTTACTTCTTTGCACAACAGTTGCTGGGAGGTTTCAAAGATTCATGATTTTCAACTTTCAACCATAGTTGGGATGAGGATCCCCAATGAGATTTTTGGTGTGGGGTGGCTTAACCACCACCAGGTTGGAATATGCCTCACCCAGCATTCCAACGCCACCCCGTGGGCTGCTGGTGCTGCTTTGAGTTCCATTGTGTACTCCATGCACGATGTCAGCGGGGGCCACGTGAATCCTGCTGTCACGGTGGCAGCGGTGCTCAATGGCAAGTGTCCCGTAGAAAGAGGTGGAAGCTATTTGCCCTGCTTGTTGGTGGTATCCTTCCTTTCTCAACCCCCAAAGATCCCCAAAGGTTGTTTATGAACTCCCACTTATTCTTGCTTTCCTTTATCATTTGCATTTGTTCATCTATATCTAATCTATATCTGTATCTCAATCTACATCAGTATCAGTATCTATCAGAACTTGACATGTTGATACATTTTCTAAATCTTCATCTATACATGTATATATATATATATATTGTCGATATTCATCAAGTTTCCCAATGGATCCCATGGCTACAGGCCTGGCCTACTGTGGCATCCAGCTGCTGGGTGCTTTCATGGCCGGCCTTAGCCTGGCAGCGTATCGTGGCGTCCGCTAGCCATCGCCGGACTTGGAGCCCACGGGCAGCTTGGGCCATGGGGGGAGTTACTGGGAGTGGGTCCTGGAAATGGTTTAACACCTATGGAACAAAACAGATATATGTTTGGGGGATTTTTGGGGGGATTTTTGGGGGGATGAATAATTTTGAGCCATTTTGGGGTGAACAGAAGGCTACGAGAAGTTTGAGCCATAACTTAGAGGTGATATTCAGCAGTAACAGACTTAATTGTGGGTTTGGCACCGCGAAATAGGTGGATTTCTCTCCAATTCCTGGCCGTTTGAACATGGGGAACATGAGGTTCGACCATGGGACGGAATGGAGGTCCAAGTTTGAGACAAACCATCGGGACAAAATACCAATCATACCATGAGACTCTGTGGCTATTTAATGATATTTTTATTTAATGATATATGTATATATAATGATATATATATATACATAATGATATATGTACATATATATAAACATTATTATATATATATATACACCAGCCAAAAATAATAATTTTGATTGGGAACATGATGATCAACCATGGATTTTTTAGAGTACCCCATTTTCAGAGCCAAGATGAATTGCCACTGGGGCCTGTCTGGATGAGGAGACTTCAGCTGGATCAGCATTTTTGCGGTTGAGACCGTCTTCACCTGCGTTCTTGCCCTCGTCACCCTGAACGTTTCGTCAGGCCCCGGTCCCAACTGGTACTTCGGCATAGCCATTGGCTCATGCTTGACCTTGGGTGGCATAGCTTCTTCAAAGATCTCGGGATTGCTGAACCCTGCCGTGGTTTGGAGTGTGGCCATTTCTGCAGCTACTGAAAGCTTTGGAACGCCATCACTGGCTTTCCACTGTTTGGCATTCTGCCTCTTTGAGATTGCAGGAGGAATTCTAGCTTCATCTTTGCATCAACTGGTACAGGATATTCCGCATATTAAGACTCGCTCTTTTTGATCATGATATATTATCATCTTTGCGAGTGAGAACAATCTTCGTATCTGTCTACATACCAATCATAACAATAGCAGGAATGCGACTTGGTCGAAGGATAGAAAAAAAGGATTCCTCTTGCGGCTGCGGAGCAAACTCAAGATCTGACATCCCGTGAGACCGAATGAATCCCAAGATCAGACAGACCTAAGAGAGATGTGCAGGAACAGAGACTTGAAATGGACCATCCGAACCTTAGATCATTACCTAACAGTAAACTAAGCTCTGGAAAATGGCCTATTGAGTTTGACGATTTTCTATTTAAACAAATGATGATTTCCATAGCTATGTCAGTTTACCAGAGGCTAACGATGAAACATGGGGATGAATTTTGCGCCAGCCGTTGTGTTCATTGGTAGCGCCAATTAGACTTGACCCATAGCCATAGAAGCCGCTAATCTTGGATATTTTGGCACCATTCAATGATATATGTATCTATACGCATATATATATATATATCTATATCTATATATATATACAATGTTTATATCCATATCTATATTATATTTATATCTATATTATACTGATATATTGATATATATATATATATATACACATCGATATATCTATATATCGATATATCTATATATCTATCTCTCTCTCTATACATATATATATAGTACACATACATATACTATATATATATACAGCTATAAAGCGTATAAACCACCATATGTTTCTGCTTGGTGACCCCCAAAATCACAGGCGGCGAGCCTGGGCTTCTCAACTACTGCACGGGCGGTGGCTCCGCAGTGAAGAAGATCGGGGCCCAGTGGCGGAGTTTCGGGCTGTTACGGTGGGCGTTACGCTGGGCCCGGTGGAGGTTGAGATGGGGATTTTCATCGCAATTTCCATGGGGATTTCCATGGGAATCACCAAAGAAAATGGTGGTTTTCCATGGGGATTTCCATGGGAAGAGGACTTGTTTTTATTGGATCACCGAACCCATGAGGTGTCACTGGTTAGCAACTGGGGTTATATGAGATTATATATTATATTATATAGAAAGAGTTTTTATAAATGGGAAAATCCATGAATTGGGGGACGAACCCGATTTTGAGGGTTATTAAGCACCTAAAAAATCCTAAAAATATAACTTGGGATGATCCTCCAAGTAATCCCATCCCCCAGTTCATATGAAACAACCCTCAGAAGCCATGGTGGATGTAGGGGATGAAATATCACATATTCATATTTGGGACATTTTTGAACCATAGAATGGTGTGTTTAATATTAGGATGATGGGATTGCCTTATCACTGATCACTGGGTTGGTGGTGACAAAAAACGTGTTTTTTTTTTTTCTAAAGTGGGAAGGCATTTTTAAGGCCATATGACATGACTGTGATGTCCGATTGAACGACCTCCGGGGCTGAAACCAGCATTCAGAGAATGATGCGGCCTGTACTACCTCTAAAACGTTTTGAAGTCCCAATCAACTTACAGCGTCCCTCAGTTATGAATGGTGATGATACTTTTTGATATTTTACAATATTCCGGGCACATGAACCACTTGAACATGGGGTTATAGTCTGGATCCATGGATTTTCTTCAGTGTTCATGGGTAGTTTTGACTCTTTTGACCCCACGAAAATCTTTGGAGCTCATCATGAGACCTTGCAAGCTGCCCCTTCACCAACTTGTCCCCTGCGTTTTGCAGGACTTTGCAGAAAACCATTGATGCAGTGTGGTTGTCTCAACCTCAGTGTGAGTGAAAAGAGTGTCCCTCAAACCCCGGCCACGGGAATCAGAACCTTGTTCGTGAAAGGCAGTTGTTTATTTGTGCTTTGCATCCCCAAGGCCTACAAGTCAGGAGGATACCGTTGGGCTCCTCACATGTCCTTTTCGCAAGCCTGTCCTAGATTGCAACAAATTTGTCATTGAACATCAAGAAGTGACTGTGTCCCCCTATACCCTGAAAAGTAGGCCATTTTTTCTCGAGACCTGGGGGCAGCAACTGTAACTCTCATGGCAGAGGCTAATCTCGAAGATCCTCGAAGTGGGAAACCAGGAAAAGTTATGAACATCCCCTATGAAATCCCCATGGAATCCCCATGGAATCCCACGTTGGCTCCCTGACCATCCTGCAGGATTCGGGGCATCAGAAAGCCTTGTGCCGTGATCTCAGACTCGTTCGATGACTCCATGACTACAATCCATGGGAATCCCAACCTGTAAGTATTGCCAGAGGAAACAAGCTCAATGAGCAGCTCAACCAACTCACCAATAAAAATTGCTGGCTTTTGCCAGGAAAGGCCTTGGATCGTAAGGTCAAGCTCATTGTACAGTGCGATTTTCACGCATCAGTCACAAACGGAAGTCCTAGAATGCACCAACCCTCGAAGCCTCTCCCGTTTTTTATGGAGGAGTTTTTGGCACATTCATCCACTGCATCAGGTGGGCCAAAGCTTCAGGAGCTCCAAAGACGAGCTCTTAAGTCTCGTAGCTGAGACATTTGTCACAGCGAGTACCGTTTGAGCAATGCTGAGAAGTTTGGTTTTGTTGGCTCTGATGAATTTCATGGTAACTGCCTGTGTTCCCTGGGGCTTTGCTTCAGAGTTGCATGGGATTATAAGGGCTCATCTATGCCTAGAGCCATAAGGAAATTGAAATGGACCCATCATTGTGTGTAGATGCAACTTGAAATATACACCAAGGCCCAGCAAGAAATGCTCCAAGGACACTTCGTTCAAGGCCTGCGGTGAGGATTGCTGGGTCTGCACCTCTCTTGGTGCCTTGCCTTTACGCCCGCAGGTCGTTGAGGTTTGCGTGTACCGCGCCCAGTGTTGATAGCTGGGAACGTGGAGAAGCATGCCATTTCCTGGGAGTCCCAAGCACTGTAATTTCATTCATAAAGATTCATTATGTGTACATATCATTTTGTAAATATTTTGTTGTTAGTGTGACAAAAGCACTATACATATCATACATACAATTATATACGTACATATACGTATATACAGTTATATGCACATACATAGACATAGAATGACATAGACATAGACATAGTGATGATATAGACATAGACATACATATTAATATGCATATACATATATACATATATACATATATATATATTAGATACACTATTCTTGCATTTTTCCAATCAACTTCCCAAAGTACCTGGGATCCCATCCGCTTTACCAAGGGGGGGCTTGGCTTCCATCCTGGACGCGGGAATTCGGCGGCGTGGCCGCGGCTCGACAACAAATACACACAACGTTGATCAGTTACCCTCTGGTAAACTAACATAACTATGGAAAGATCCACCATTTTCAATGGGTAAATCCACTATACATGGGCCATTTTCAATAGCTATGTTAGTTTACCAGAGGGTATTCTATGTGATTCTAGGTTTTTTTTAAATGTTTTTTTAATGCTACTGTACTGTGATACTGTGCCTGTTTGATTTTTTTTTGAATCATTACTAAATCGATATTGAAGTGATAAGTTTAAGCGATACCAAGCGGTTCCTGGGAGAGTTTTTTTGTGACAATGGCTCACTTGGATATTATTCTAGACCATACCCAACTGGAGGTTTACGGCTGAGTCCGGCTTTTTTGCTGTCTTGATGGTTATATCAAGTTATATCTCCATTGATGGAGAAAAAGTACCATCAATCAATGGAAAAAGTACCCTCTGGTTATTTAACATAGCCATGGGAAATGGCCCTAATCGAAATAGATGGTTTACCTAGCTATAAAAATGGTGGATCTTTCCATGGCAAAGTGTGAGTCATAACCAGATGGTACCACTAATGGTGAATTCCTGATTCGTTACTGATTGGATCCCATTAGTGGATTTTTCTGGATCCACATTATGACAGACAGAACTGCTGAGGCAGCAAAGCCATCAGCAAGGAGGAGACATGACATATCCGTTGTTTCCAGTGGTTGCATGTCTTGTTTCAATACTTAAAATTAGGGGTATAGCAAGAAAATAGCCAATACTGATTCATCAGTGGATTTTGGGATCCCATATTTCCAGTCAAGCCCATATATGAATAGAACAAGCATGTTTGGATGTGTCTGAAAATGGGGTATACTCCCAATATGGCCATTCCAAACAGGGATAGTGATGATGAAATAGTGGATGGAATCGGGTGCCCTATTTTCAGAGAAACCTATATATATATAGTATATATCATATTGTTGATGATATGTCCCATTATATCTCCATGATATCATATCACCATTAGTTTACCCCGACTTCTCTTGCTGATCCAAGCTGAACGTGCTGCCTTTGCTGGAGAAGCTGCAGATGGCTGCAGGAGAAACTTCCGTTGTTCGATCACTTCGAGCGCCAGGCTGTGGCTATTTGGAACCGTCCTATTTGTTCCATGAAATGAACAAGAGAGAAGATGACAGATGTACATACATACATACATACATATATACATACATACATACATACATACATACATACATACATACATACATACATACATACATACATACATACATACATACATACATACATACATACATACATACATACATACATACATACATACATACATACATACACACATACATATACAAACATAGATGTATAGATGCATATATGTGTATGTACATGTATATTATATATACATACATATGTATGTATAGAGACATATACGTACATATGTATGTATATACATATATCAATCTACATAGGTTTCACAGGAATCCATTGATTTTGACCATGACTCCGAGCATCAAGTCGCCATCAGGCTGAGATCGTTTTTCGCCCACATGGCGGGCCACATCCCGAGGTTTGACTCTGCAACAGCTGGGGGTTTCCATCGTCATGGGGGGCACCAATAGCTGGATGGTTTATGGAAGATCCTATGAAAATGGATGATTTAGGGCCTAGGGGTACCCCCATTTTACGAATTTACGAAGCCTCCATTTCTGTGATGGCCTTGGTGGTGATGAACTGAGGATCTGGCGACTCCGGGACTTTTTCGAGGTCAGAATTGTG